GGCGGGCGACCGCAAACTGACACAGAGAATTTTTAGGTTTTTGGCTCACTTTAAAAAATACAATAAAAATATTAAATCAATTCCAAAAATAGTAAAACTTTGGAAAAAGTTTCTAAATGATAAAATAAACATGTTCGAAAAGGAATTTTTGGAAATACAAATTTCATTTGTGAAAACTCACTATTTTTGAAAAGTGTACATAAAACCTGTTTTTCGTGAACACAAAAATTAAACTATGACTTGTAAACTTGTTGTAAACATGAAATAAAAACTATTGTAACAAAGTTTGATAAAAAAATCATTTGTATGATAGAAAAAGTCAAACTTGTGTTGTGTTTACATATTGAGCTTAAATATTATCATACGATATATGTAAACAAATCTACTCTTATACCTAGATGATTGTGCACACATGAACTTGAATCTTTAACTCTTGATAGCCATGTGTTGAATTCCTGTAAAGAGAAAAACAAACCACAAGAACTAGAAAACAGATTAGCTATAAATTGTTTGATGATTAAAACCATAGGGCCAACAAAATCTACTTACAAGGCCAACAACATATGCAATGTCAGGTCTAGTACATAACATAGCATGCATCAAACTACCAACTGCCGAAGCATATGGTATACTTCTAGAGCTCTCAATTTCCCTTTAGATTTAGGACACATTTTCTTTGATAGTGAGATTCCATGTCTAGTAGGAAGTAGCCCTTTCTTGAAATCTTGTATGCTGAACCTTCTGAGGATCTTATCCACATAAGTGGACTATGATAATCCTATACGTCTCTTTTCTCTATCTCTATAGAGTTTGAGACCCAAAATATAAGATGCTTGACCAAGATCTTTTGTAGAGAACTTGTTTGAAAGCAATAATTTAACCGATATTATCATACCTACATCATTTCCAATGAGTAGTATGTCATCAACATAAAGCACTAGGAACACAATAGAATTATTCTGTTTTTTCTTATACACACAAGATTCTTCAAAATTTTGGATAAAATCATATTCTTTAATCTTTTCATCAAAACGAATATTCCAACTCCTTGAAGCCTGTTTAAGTCCATAAATTGACTGATTCAATTTGCAAACCATACTTTCTTGACCTTTACATACATAACCTTCTGGTAGCTGCATGTAAATATCTTCTTCAAGATATTCATTCAAAAAAGCTGTTTTGACATCCATTTTCCATATCTCATAGTCATAATGTGTGGTAATAGCTAAAAGGATCCTAATGGACTTTAACATTACAACCGGAGAAAAGGTTTCCTCGTAGTCAATACCCTCCTTTCTGACCATATCTAATAGGGTTCGGCTCTATTTTTCAGACACACCATTATGTTGTGGTGTTCCGGGAGGTGTCAAATTACTATCAATTCTATTTTCTTTCATAAATTTCTTAAACTCTTCAAATAGGTACTCACCACCTCGATCAGATCAAATGGCCTTGATACTTCTATTAAGTTTCTTTTCAACTTCGGCTTTATATTCTTTCTGATTTATGATGCAATAAATAAATATTGCCATATCAATGTAAAACCCCAAAAATTTGTGATATATATATAATTAATATGTGATTAATTATGATATATGGGTTTTTATTTTGATAAATATAGTTAAATGGTATGTGAGTAGTATATCATGTGTTTTGAGTATAAACAAGTTCTTTCGTGAGGAAGAAAAAAAGTCAAAACATGCACAATGGCCAAATATATGAGGAGCTAAAAAATTCCAGTCCGGTCGACCATCGCGGTCGACCGCAGACGGTCAACGTCACGGTCGACCGCGAGACCTGCAAAAGCTTTTCTCCTGTTTTGAGTTGGTTTCGGATTTCTAAAGCTCATATTCGTTTTCATTGGTTTATATATTAATCTTTCACGAATTTTCTCAGTTTTTCTAAGAACCCTAACAGCCACCAAACCCCCATAAAACCTAACTTGATTCTTGGAGAAGATTGGAGGCTTTTGAGCAGGATTTTGTGTGGTTTTTGGCTTTGGGAGTGGAGATCTTATTTGGTTTGGCATCTTAAATATTTTTTTTACAAATCTCAGGCGAGTTCATCTTTGCTAATCCCCCTCCTAGTTTTTAAAACGTTTTTAAAGAGTTTTTAACATGTTTTATAGAGCCAAATTGACTAGTTTATAAATAAAAGTTAATTCTTTTGTATTATATGTATAAAGACTAGGTCTTTCCATGTGAAAAGGTTTGAGAACGAATTTACAGAAGATATTTAAGATCTGAAAATGATTTAAAAGTTGTTTAATCTGAAGAAAGATGAATTGTTCTCTGTTTCAAGTTCTTATGCATGTTTTAGGGTTTAAATATGAATTTTTATGCACATAATCATGTATTATATATTGTGTTGCTCCGAAAAGTTTTTATCTACTGTTGACATGTTTCCATGCAAGATTCATATTGTTTTAATCATGTTTGAATCACCTAAACACGGCGTGAACACAACACACACAACCAAATTTAGAATCTAGAATTTTAGCCCACAGTCGACCGCACCTTAGTGGTGGTCGACTGCGTGTAGGGCAGAGGCCTGGGTAGGCCCTGGAACCCATCACGGTCGACCGTCACATAATTGCGGTCGACCGCCAAACTGTATATCGGCATGTGCATGTTTTGTTCAATTGTTTTGGTTTTCGAGCGAGCCTCATGACCTTGTACTGCTATAATAAAATGTTTATGAGTTATTTAACACTCGAGATGTCAGTAAACACCAGACATGGACACGCACACTGAGACATATGCACGCATGTTTAGAATATATTGTTTAGACATACCTTTGTCCTAATTTAAGTTGATAAATATGAAGAGTATAGTAATTTCATGTTTTCTGAATAGGAAGATGAAACCTATTTCCGCAGGACGATTGAGTAAGAATATTACAAAAGTATCATCATATCATGTATCCGGAATGGGGAGATAAAACACATTTTCGCAGGGTGATTAAGTAAAAACATTACAAAAGTATCGTCATTTCATGTATCCGGGATATGGAGATAAAACCTATTGTCGCAGAGTGATTGAGTAAGAATATTACAAGAGTATCGCTAATGCACATGAGATGCACACTTGTAAGTATTATAAATTGTAGTTTTGCTTCCATTTTGAATACCCGTAAGTAGGGTACTTTCTCTGAGACCGTGACTTACACGATATGGCTTATGGTTAACTTTTGTTTTGGATGAGTTTTCCTTATATTAGATCAGTCTACCTGAGTGTAGATCGAGATGAGATATTTGTGCTACAGGTTTGAGGTTTGGAGTGTTACCTTTTTGTTTGTTGTTTTTCATTCATGGAGTTTGGAATCAGTATTTAGGGAGTTACAATTTGAGACATAGTATATACATGAGGGTTTTCTTGTTTGGATTATTTCGCTCGACGTACTAACTCTCGTGTTGTGGATTCCTAAATACTAATCTCCAGTTAGATTTATATGAATGATTTTATACTTATATACTGTCTCTATTTTCTATATACTACTACCCCTTCCCCTGGGGAGAGGTGGAGATGATCTCGCTATAGCGCTTTGACGCTCGTTGTTTTTCCCCTTTCAGGCAGCGAGTCTGGGGCATGGAGAGTCGCAGGTTAATAAGATTTCTTTATAGATTCTATCTAGCTATTTATTATTTTAGTAGTTATTACAGAACTCCACAGTTAGTTGTTTATATTCAGACTCTAGACTTGTATTTTATTTTATAGAGGTTGAGAGCCATAGTGATACTTTATTTGACTCATTGTACTTGAGGTTTATTTCAGACTCAAAGATATTTCTATTTTAGTTGGGTTCACTGATGATTATTCTCTTATTGCTTCTGCGTACACCTGGTTTGTTCTATCTCTAATATTTGTCTGTCGGTACTTTCACATATTTGTTGTTTTCACTAGAGAGATAGTGACTGTGATGGTGAAACGTGTCGTAGCATGGTGTTTGGTGCTTAGCATATTTAATATTTCGGGTTTCACCTTGGATTGTAGCCTTGCGTGAAACCTGGGATGTCACAGTTGGTATCAAAGCTCTAGGTTCCAATATCCTTAGGATCATTTCTGTGTCATATTGTGGAGTTAGGATAGAGTTTCCTAGCAATCATGTATACAGTCCACTAGGAATTCCTAGTGTGAGTGAGGACGTATTATATATGTACGCGAAAAATTATAATTTTTTTTATGACGAACTATTTGCTTGAATAATAAAGCATGCTATGAGATATATGTGATACGATTTACTTATTGGTATACGTTATATTTTTTTCTGCTTGAGATTCTATTTACTGCGTAATAAGCTCTACTTCTAAATTATAGATGTCAGGAAGAGGACGTGGACGCTGAGGTACTAGAGCTCAGGGAGCTGAGCAAGTCGATAGAGAATTCGACCCGCAGCAGGCTCCGCAGCAGGCTCCGTAGTACTTAGTGGATCTCATAGCACAGTTAGCAGCTCGTCTGGCAGATATTAAGGAGTAGTTAGCAGATCAGGTTCATCAGGGAGCACCCATTCAGGAGAAGATGCCAGAGGGGACATCGATAGTCATACCACCACCTTTAGTTAATGATGGAATGGCTGAGTGGGAGGCTTGACTTCGTTTGGTAGAGAGGTACCAGAAGTTGAAGGCTTAAGAGTTTTATGGTTCGACGGATTCCATTGCGGCACACAAATGGAAGGAAGATGTAAACAACATTTTAGACATGCTTAATGTAGATAGTGTGCAGAAGCAGAGGCTAGTAGCTTTTAGCCTCAAGGGCGATTTAGGAGGATGGTATCGACTTCAATTTACTCCAGAGTAGAGGTTGACGGCCTCGTGGGAGACTTTTGTGTATTTCTTTGAAGAACAGTATGTTTCGGCTGCAGCGAAAGCCGGGAAGGAGTTAGAACTAACTCGATTGGAGCAAGGGGATATGTCTGTGACGGACTTTGAGAGTAAGTTTATGTCACTACTTAGATTCACTGGCATGTGACACACCGAGGAGAGGCAGGTCCAGATGTTCATGATGGGACTTCGTCCAGGTTTACACCGATATCTAGTATCTCGGAGATTTCGTTCAGTGTGGGAGGTGGCAGATGCTGCCATAGCTCAGGAGATAGATACGACTATATTTATTAAGGGCAAAGATGGTAATGCTAAGTTAGGACAGTCTGGGGATAAAGGTAAGTGTAAGAGACCTTTTACAGGCTCAGGAGGACCCCAACATCAGAACAAGGCTCCACATCTGCAGGGTCCCCATAAGAAGGGCAATCAATAGGATCAGAGGGCGCAACAGCAGTGCTGATTTTATGGAGCTTGTTTCAATTACAACAAGCTCGGTCATAGAGCAGCAGAGTGCCGCAGTGCACCCACAGCAGGCCAGCAGGACAGAAATCATCATCAGCAGCAGAACCGCACTCAGGGTCGCGGTCAGGGTCAACAGTTGAGAATTTAGGCACCTCCAGTAGTCCCGAGGATTGAGGGATAGGTACGAGCGATTCAGGAGACCCAGCAGGGACAGATAGTCCCATACGTTCCAGGCGATGCAGCCCAACATACTGGTAGAGTGTATGCAGTTATTCCTCGCAATCATGATGCGAGCGGGATGGTGGTGGAAGGTACTTTCCTTGTGAATTCCTTTCTAGCATGTATTCTTTTTGACTCTGGCGCTTCACATTCTTTTATCTCCTACGATTTTACGGTTAGACTCCAACTTGTGGCGCATCCATTAGATTTTTCTTTATTTGTATCTACTCCTTTAGGGGAGACGTCTCTTTTAGAGAGTATTTGTAGGAATGTATCATCAGTTTAGATGATTCTGAGTTCGTGATAGACCTGATCATGTTACGTATGTCTGAATTCGAAGTTATCCTTGGTATGAATTGGCTATCTTTTTACCATGTGAGTATCGACTGTTTTACGAAGACAGTCAGTTTGTGAGCATATGATGGATCTGAGTTAGTAGTGGTGACCTCCAGAGGCAACCAGTTTGTGGAGTCATATCTGGCATATGCCGAGGAGGTGATATTACGTGATCGGGGTACAAATTTGAGTGAGATGTGAGTAGTCTCAGAGTACCAGGATGTTTTCTAGGATATACCAGGATTACCTACAGTGAGAGAGGTCGAGTTTTGCATAGAGTTGCAGCCAGACACCGCGCCGATTTCCTGAGCACCTTACTGTATGGCGCCTGCTGAGATGAGGGAGCTACAGATCAAGCTAGATGAGTTGTTGTCTCAGGGATTCATTTAACGGGGTCACTCTCCATGGGGAGCATCGCTCCTCTTTGTAAAGAAGAAGGACGGGAGTATGCGATTATGCATTGATTATCGCGAGTTGAATAAGGTCACTATCTGAAACAGGTACCCATTATCGAGGATCGATGACTTGTTTGACCAGTTACAAAATCTCAATATTTTTCAAAGATAGATCTTTATTCCGGTTATCATCAGTTGCGGGTTCGGGAGATGGATATTCCCAAGACCGCATTCTTGACTCGATATGGGTCTTTCGAGTTTCTTGTCATGCCATTTGGGTTGATCAATGTACCCGCAGTATTCATGGATTTGATGAATCAGGTTTTTCGTCCATACTTGGACTAGTTCGTGATAGTTTTCATCGACGATATCCTCATCTATTCGAGATTGGAGGCCGAGCACGAGCAGCATTTGAGGTTGGTATTGCAGACTTTACGAGAATTCCAGCTGTATGCCAAATTTAGCAAATGTGAATTTTGGTTATCAGAGGTCATATTTTTAGGTCATGTCATCAGCCGGGAGGGCATTGCAGTAGATCCAGGTAAAGTAGAGCCCGCACTTGATTGGGAACCACCAAAAATATTTACCGAGATTTATAGCTTCTTAGGTCTGGCGGGCTAATACAAAAAGTTTATTCAAGACTTCTCGAAGATCGCAACGTCACTTACATGCCTTACTAAGAAGGGTGTATAATTTATTTGGGTCATAGAATGCAAAGAGGCCTTTGAGACATTAAAGACAAAGTTGACTTTAGCACCAATACTGATTATTCCTAGTAGTGATAAGACTTTTGTTGTCTACACTGATGCATCCTTATCAGGTCTTGGAGGTGTATTAATACAAACCCAGAGAGTTATTGCCTATATTTCGAGACAGTTGAGGACTCATGAGCAGAATTATCCTACGTATGATTTGAAGCTAGCAGCAGTGGTCTTTGCACTGAAGGCGTGTAGGCATTATTTGTACAGAGTATAATTTGAGTTATTCACAGATCACCAGAGTTTGAAGTACCTCTTTTCACAGAAAGAACTCAACCAGAGACAACGTCGATGGATAGAATTTATTAAGCATCGCTATAGAGTACCATCCGTGAAAGGCGAACGTGGTAGTAGACGCACTGAGCAGGAAGCGTTGTCGCGGGCTAGCAGCTTTGAGGTGTTCACTATATCGGGATCTTTATACTCTCAGCCATTATGATATCAGGCCAGAGATTGGCGGGAGCAATGTTTTCTTAGGAGCTTTATTAGTACAGCCGTTTTGGGGAGATAGAGTAGTCGGAGCTCCGTTAGAGGATTCTTGGATTCAAACCCGCAAGGGGGAGATTTCTAAAGAACCCAAGGATGATTGGACTATTGGAGTAGATGGAGGCCTTCGAATGAAGGGCATGATTGTCATGCCGAAAAATCTACATCTGAAGAGGGAACTTTTTGACGAGGCACATTGTAGCAGATATACAGTGCACCCAGGTACGACGAAAATGTATAAGGATCTGAAGAGGCATTTTTGTTGGAGTGGTATGCGCAGAGAGATTATAGATTATGTGGATAAGTGTTATACCTGCAAGCAAGTTAAGGCAGAACATCAGAGACCTGCAGAAACCCTATAACCTTTACCCATTCCCCAGTGGAAGTAAGCAGATAGTTCTATGGATTTCATAGTAGGGTTGCCTAAATCAAAGAAAGAAAATGATTCTGTTTGGGTGATAGTTGACAGATTGACAAAGTCGGCACATTTCTTACCTGTGAGGACGACTTATACGATGGACATATATGCGAGGATTTTTATTCGAGAGATTGTCAGATTGCATGGAGTTCCGGAGACGATTGTATTAGATTAGGGCTCAGTCTTCACATCCCATTTCTGGAAGAGTTTTCAGGATGCTTTTAGCAGCTAGTTATCATTCAGTAGAGTATTCTACCCCCAGACAGATGGTCAGACCGAGAGGGTGAATCAGGTATTAAAGGATATGCTGAGAGCATGTGTTATAGATTTTCAGGGTAGCTGGGAGGACCACATTTCATTAATTGAATTTGCATATAATAATAGTTATCAAGCTACCATCGGGATAACACCGTATGACGCCTTATACGGGAGGCCTTGCAGATCGCCTATATGTTGGGCAGAGCCAGATGATAGTCTATTACTTAGCCCGAAGCTAGTTAGGCAGACCACGAAGAAGGTGGTATTGATTCGGGAGCGCATTCTTGCTGTACAGAGTCAGCAAAAGAGTTATGCAGATTAGCGGAGATGACCCTTAGAGTTTCAGGTCGAAGACTTGGTTATGTTGAAAGTATCATCAATGAAGGGCGTTCAGCGATTCGGTAGATGGGGGAAGCTTGCCCCGAGATATGTTGGTCCCTTTAGTATTATCGAGTGCATTAAAGTTGTTTCTTATAGATTAGACCTTCCAACATCGATGTCGAGTATACAAGATGTCTTTCATATTTCGATGCTCAAGAAGCATTTGTGTGACAAAAAGCAGCAAAGAGTGATTGATTCACCAGAGGTCAAAATCCAAGATGATTTGACTACCGTAGAGATTCCAGTATGCATTCTTACTAGAGAGAATAAAAAGCTTAGAAACAAAATCATTCCATTAGTGAAAGTACAGTGGAACGGGTAAGGAGCCGAAGATATTTCTTGGGAGCGTGAGGAGGATGTACGTTGCGACTATCCGCACATGTTTGAACAGGTAAGATGTTGATATTTAAACGTGCTTATATGCGTTGATAGATATGATTGCATGTGTTGTTTATTCACATTAATACTTAACGCTAGAATGGGTCATTCAACACTTAGCTCTTAATTATTCAGAACATATGGTATATATATGAGGAGTTCCTTGTTTGGATTTTTCGTCCGACGTACTAGTTCCATCTAATTAGGGGTTAAGTGAGGATACACATATTTTAGATTGGTTAAGTTTAAATGTGGCTTATGATTCATATCTTGAAATTAACGGTACGAGATGTGTACGAGAGAGTTTCCTTGTCTGGATTATCCCCTCTTAACTCTTTTCTTATATTATTAATTCCTATGATTCGATTGTAGAATTTCTAGGACGGAATTCTTTTAAAAGTGATATATATATAATTAATATGTGATTAATTATGATATATGGATTTTTTTTTGATAAATACATTTAAATGGTATGTGAGTAGTATACCATGTGTTTTGAGTATAAACAAGTTCTTTCGTGAGGAAGAAAAGAGTTAAAATATGCACAATGGCCAAATATATGAGGAGCTGGAAAATTCCAGTCCGGTCAACCATCGCGGTCGACCGCAGACGGTCAACCGCCACGGTCGACCGCGAGACCTGCAGAAGCTTTTCTCCTGTTTTGACTTGGTTTCAGATTTCTAAAGCTCATATTCGTTTTCCTTGGTTTATATATTAATCTTTCATGAATTTTCTCAGTTTTTCTAAGAACCCTAACGCCACCAAACCCCCATAAACCCTAACTTGATTCTTGGAGAAGATTGGAGGCTTTTGAGCGGGATTTCGTGTGGTTTTTGGCTTTGGGAGTGGGGATCTTCTTTGGTTTGGCATCTTAAATGTTTTTTACAAATCTCAGGCGAGTTCATCTCTGCTAATCCCCCTCCTAGTTTTTAAAACATTTTTAAAGAGTTTTTAACATGTTTTATAGAGCTAAATTAACTAGTTTATGAATAAAAGTCAATTCTTTTGTATTATATGTATAAAGACTAGGTCTTTCCATGTGAAAAGGTTTGAGAATAAATTTATAGAATATATTTAAGATCTAAAATTGATTTAAAAGTTGTTTAATCAGAAGAAAGATGAATTGTTCTTTGTTTCAAGTTCTTATGCATGTTTTAGGGTTTTAAATATGAATTTTTATGCACATAATCATGTATTATATATTGTGTTGCTCCCAAAAGTTTTTATCTGTTGTTGACATGTTTCCA